TTGCAACAATTACGCAGAATGTATATTACACCCGATCAGATGAATTGGGATGAGATGCTTCCCAAGGCAGTTAGCGCTTATAACAATAGTGTACACCTAGCTATCTGTAGAACTCCTAACGAGCTGCATAAGTCCTTTAGACCGTGTAGGCCGTTCGAAGGACTGAACCGGAACCAGATTCAGAGATTACCTCCCAATACGAGAGAGTTTGCCACAGTTTGAGGTAGGCGACCACCGACCTAGTCTGGGACAAGTCAAAGGAATTCGCACCAGAAGAGAACGTCTTGCAACAGCTTTCACCCGCTTACAAAGCGTTGTGGCCTGTCCTAGAAGTTAAAGGAGGAGAGGACAGACCATCGTACACAGTAGAGATTCTGCCACACCTCCATACATATCCGGTCTTCCAGGCGCCAAAGTTGCTACCTTGTGTCACTAGTCAACAGTTCCTTTCGCGGAGATCCATGGTTCCGCCAGATATGGATGGCACATACGACATAGACCGAATAGCGATGGAAGATATATTCCGAACAGGAGGTAGAGGTCGTCCCTAGAAGCAATACACCCGAGGACGACAAGTGGTTCACAAGGGCAGAGCCTCTAGAAACTGCTCCCGACACCCAGTTCGCGCGACATCTGCAGATTCCAGGGCTCGATCCCTAGACCTAACCCCTACCTATGTTAAGCTACCCCGTTGACCCTGTGTGCCTCCAACTCACAATCTGTTGCTAATAACGTGTACCAGTGTTCTAAACCTACAGTTGGGTTGTGAGGTCTCGAACCGTAGACCTGTAAGTTAGTAGGGGCAGCCAGTCATAGCTAGGAGTCAGTCGTTCGTAGCTGAGACAGCAAATTCAGTCCTCGTCCAATCCGCAAGGGGATAGTCCCAGGCCCACGTCCACTTTGTACAGTCAGCAAGTATCAGGTGGGATTGTACCCCATTGGGCCTGGGATTGAAGGCAGGCAAGACTATTAAACAAAACAGTATAAATAAAGAGGCAGCACCGAACCCTTCATTCATTCGCCTGCGGGCCATGCGGATCTTCCCACGTTCTAGCAGGATACACATTCTCACTTTGCACATTTAGTGAGTGGATGGGCGGTCCCTTTCATCACTGGGAGTGTACTCAGGTTCGTGCACTTTGGCACGAATCCTCCCTTTCTCCCTCCCTATCTCTCCCACTGTCTCTTTTGTGGGGAATAACAACGTGTGATACAAGAGCCGGACACAAACCAATCGACAGAGAAATGCAAAAGAAAGAGAGAGAGAGAGAGAGAGAGAGAGAGAGAGAGAGAGAGAGAGAGAGAGAGAGAGAGAGAGAGAGAGAGAGAGAGAGAGAGAGAG